TTCCTCCCATATTTGGGCATACCAGGGGTTGTGACTTTAAATATATGTGTGTGTGTGTGTGTGTGTGTGTGTGTGTGTGTTTTATAGTTATAAAAGTCATCACAGCAGGTATGTAAAAGAAGTAATGTGTTGCAAAGATGTGAAGTTTGCATAAACAAAATAAAAAGTTTTTTTTAAAGTCATGTGTCAAGTCCTCTAAGGATGGTAATCTCTAGAAACAACCATTTGAGTTTCTGGATAGACCTTTGTAGCTAGTTGGGTAATGTAACAAAGTTGAAAGCTTATCAAAGCAATTTTCCCATTCAATTTACACCTAGTTGCTCAGTGTCTTTCTCACGTTTCTGTCATTTTTAAAAAAAAATATAGTAGTTCTGTTTCCTCCTCTGCCTTCCTAGGTTCTGTTAGGTATTCCATCATGCCTTAAGTTTAAACATCAAGACTGTGATACAGCTAATTGATATGTTCTCACTGGCTATTACCAATCAATTGTTGAATTTAAGGCTTCATCTAGCTCAGTGCTGTTAAACTCCCAGCCTACAGGCTGGATGCATCACGTGCTGGCCATTCCCACACCGAGTTAACAAAGGAGGGGGGAGTCATGTGATGCCACTGTGACGACATGAGTTTGACACCCCTGATCTAGCTGAACTGTGAATCTTCTGCCAAGTCTAGCCAATCAAGCTAAGTAATAAAGTGTTAGAAAATGTGTGATTTACTGTCAAATTCCAGTTGGGGGAACATGACAGCCATTGGTTGGGTGGTTTTAGAAGAAATTTTACAGATTCATGAAGTATATTTTTCTCTACACAAAACAGAGAATCTGTATCCCACTATTTATTGATTGAGGGCAGTTCTCATTTTTCTTGTTTACCAAGTGCATTCGGGGATGTTAATTGGAAATAGCAAGCTATGGAAGGCAAAGCTTTCCCATCTATGGTCTGTAGCTATTACAAAAGTATATAAATGGAATCTGTCTTACAGATGAAATATTCCTCAGAATGTAATTTATAGAAAGGTGAAAATTTGAACAGGCTGTAGCCACTAACATGTGGCTTCCAGGAACGATTTGGCTAGACCTTGTTAAATTTAGGTAAAAGTCCAATTTTAAACTAATTTCAGCACATTTGTGCAGAGTAAACGTACTTTCAGATAAACATGGATAGGAATGTACTATTTTACTTTAATGCAGCCAAGGCTTTACAATGGTTACTCTGTTTCCCGAACTAAAGGAGTCACATTATGGGTGATGTTTTTCCCAATAAGCAAAGCAAATTCACACTCTTTTAATCATGACTTTGACTTGCATGTCTAGTGAATAACAAGTGTAGTACAGCTGCCAGTAATGTCTGTACTAAATTTATATCAGTTTTTTTCCTGAAATACAAAATTAGCCACAATTAATTAATCTTGAGCTTGTGTTTGCTGTCATGTGGGTGTAATTTAGCATTTATGTTTCCCTGCTTCTGGCATTGGTATTCATTATTAAAATTTTAAACGCCAGCTGTTCAGCTGTAATGTTTGCTGATGTAACTCACTAATTTGCTGAAAGATCTCTACAACTTTTTTCTTTATTACCTTAGAGTTTGTAAATCAGACAGAAGATGCTGCAACAGGAGCTGCTTCAATCATGGTCAACAGTGAAGGTGCATATCAAAGAATAAGCTGAATTGTCTTAGATTTGAATTATGTATGATGAGATATTAATTTTGTCAAGTTTCATTTTTTAAAGATATAACCAAGGGACTTGCATATCTATACCATTGAGCCCAGAAGCAAATACACTTAAGTTGTGTTCTATATCATTAAACTTTTGATGGTATGTGGGGGGTGGGGGGTTGAACACGCCTGGCAATGGCAACAGGATTACAGGACACAGCTGATAACTTGTTTTTTCTCTGTCTCAAATATTTCATATGCTTTATATAGAATGACTCAAAGGAAGCAATGTAAACTGTAGATTAAGCTTTTACAAAATCCTGCAAACCCATTTGTCTCTTAACTAAAGAAGGATTAGTGACAGTCCTCTGCCTCATATACCCCATGATCAAATTCAGTAGCACTGTTTTCTTTTCATTTTGCTGAAAATGATTACACCTTGTTATTGTCCCTGTGAATTTTGATCAGGGATGATGATCAATTATGCCTGGGAAACCCCTCTAGATTATTGGGCAAACATGGCCACAGAAACAAAGGAAAAATCCATTCTAAATGAGAATAGCATTAAATATAATTTACATTATAATACTTTATAATGTAGTATTACATTATAATACTACACTGGAGACACAATGTTTTCAGTGAGTTTTAAAGCTTCTCATATCAGTTTGTTAAAATAGTGTCATAGCATGATTCTTGGACATTACAGGGCACTGAAGCGCCATCTTATTGCTCATAGAATACGATCACCCTATAAGTTGAGGGCCCCTTCAACTCGAAAATCAGGGCAAGCTTGTTTCAGCTTAGCTGTGTCTTTTGCTATTAATTATTAATTGCAGTTCAAAGAAGTCAGTCTTATTTTTCCACACGCCCAGAAGCTTGTGTGCAAAAATCTTAAGTGCAAACTGGGAGTTGCAGTGACTGTAAAAGATTTACAAGTGAGATTAAAGAATGGAAGTGAAGAAAGTTCTCTGGATTATTATTAGCTTATCAAACTTGGTTTCTGATACAGATTGCAGACTAGAAGCTGGTTTTTTCCATCTTGGCATCTGGTAAACGTAGAAGAGTTTTCACGCACAACTATTTCCAGAACTCAGCTTTGGGTGTTGAACTACTGTTTGTTAATTTGCTTATTTTTTGCCACAGGGAAAAACGTTTGGAAAGTACTTCATAGTGTGACAATTGTAAATAATTGTCTTTGAGCTTTTTCCAGTCTGATGCTTCCAAGAAATATTTTGAATTCAGTTCCCAGAATCCACCAGCCAGTATGTAATAGTCATATAGGGACAAATATTTTATTTGGGTTTGTTTGTTTTTTAATTCTCTTTCCTATGATATTTTTTATATTTTACACTAGTCCAGTTATGGTTAACCTTTCCAGCACCGAGTGCTGAAACTATAGGGTGCACATGCCGGAATTCCAGAACCCGAAAGAGAGCAGCTGGCCAGTGCGCATGCGTATGGCGGCCAGCTGCTCTTCTGGGTTCCGTTGCACGCATGCACACTGGAACCTGTAAGAGCAGCTGATGACGGCATGCATGCCCACAGAGAGGGCTCTGTGTGCCACCTCTGGCACGTGTGCCATCGGTTTGCCATCCCTAGTCTGTCGATCCTTATCATAAGAGAAAAGATTATAGAGGTAGCCCCATAGCTTAAATTAGGAGATTATAACCCACTAATTGAAGATCAGGAATCTAGATTTTGTCTTAATTTCTAGAATCCTAGGTGTCTCAACAATTATTTATGAATATCTACTATTGTTTCTGTTCTCCTGTGTATCTAAATGAATAAGTAAAAAACCCATTTTGACAAAGATGTCAAATAAAAATAAATTTTGCAACTATTTAATGTATGTATAGAACAGTGAATGGTTTGACAGTAATGAATAGGGTGAGAAATTGACAAGAGTTCCAAGCTGACGAAAAGAAAATATTTTATGCATGTAGTTCATCCAATGTTCTGTCATGAGAGATTGTTGATAGCCCCTAGTTCTGAAGCTTCATGAAAAGTCTGTATAAATAAATGACAAGTTTATCAATGATCATAATAACTAAAAAAATGAAATCTAGTGGGTGAAAGAATATGCCTCCAACTGAAAGACCCTTAGCATAAATATTGGAGATTAGTTATCTCCATGTGATATCTGGATGATAACTATTAAATAAAAATATTTAGAAAACATAAGCAATGGCAAAAAAAAATCATGCACCCCTTATCACTAATGCTGACTACAAACAACATAAAAAAACCTGTGAAACCTATAAAACATTACCTCAGAAAATTAGGGAGGGGAAATGAAAAATTTCAATAATGTAACACACAAACCACATATCTGTTCCATGATATATCATTTCCAGATTCATGATAACATTCAGAACAAAAAAATATCTATGACCCTAAGCATTCCATCTTAAGCATTTATCTCTTGTACTATCCCTTTGTTAATTCACCATTAATAGCCGTCTTTCAAAATACGACTAAATGTAACTATAGAAGATTTCAGAAAGTTTGTTGACCATCCTGAGACTTTAGGCTGACATATTTATCTTGGGCAATCTTTCATGAAAGAATCTGGGGGGGAAAAATCTGGGCTTTAGCCAACATTGTTTGGAAAATTAAATTCCTCTGTGAGAATGATCATTATACCATTATTCCCATCATTGTATTTGGGGGAGGCACATTTTGAACCCAAGACACACTGAAGTTTAATTCCGAAGGAATGTTTGCAAAGTAGAGCCAAAAATCCATAATCCCATAACTGCTTATGATTTGAAAGGCCCACTTTAGAATTTGACAGCAGCAAATAGATGAAAAATAACTTTGGATGTTGAGCAGTTTACTCATGAATATTGTCAAGAACTACATTGTTGGCAAATTCATCTGCTGCACAATCTGCACAAATAGAAATAAACAAATTCATTCTAGAACAGATATAACGCCACAAATGCCAATATACTGGGATTTTATTTCTTGTTACTAGAAGATTCCCTTGGGGTATACATGGTTCAGATGCCAAAGCTTAGGTAGACAGTGCCATCATAATTACTTCAGCAACTGTCTTAACAGCTTTAATCTCAACGAGTTCTTGGAGGAGAACAGATGAATCATCTTGTGCAAGTTATATTCTAATACAGGTAGTCCTTGGATTATGGCAGCAATTGAGATTGGGATTGCCATTGCTAAACAATACGGTCATAAAACATGATGTCACATGACCATATCACTTAGTGACAGCACTCTGAGGCAGTTTGGTTCCCATTGTAACCCCCAAAGCGTGCTTCTCATTAGGCAGGAAGAGGCAGGAATCTCAGATAAAGCGTGCAGGGGTGTGTCAAGTGGTGGTGGTGGTGGTGGTGGTGGGAGGCCAGTACAGGCAACACATGAATGGTGAAAGCCTGGGAAGAGCACTGGTGCAGACTGCATATGGGCAGGGTGTGCTGCAGATGGGAGAAAAAGTGGAAGCAATTTACCAGAGCAACTTCTGATCTTTTCTGCCAGCTTCTCCATTGAGTTGCTTTTGGGAAACCAACAGGAAAGGTTGCAAATGGCAATCATGTGACTGCAATAGCAGTAGACTTATATACCGCTTCATAGGGCTTTCAGCCCTCTCTAAGCGGTTTACAGAGAGTCAGCATATTGCCCCCAACAATCTGGGTCCTCATTTTACCCACCTCGGAAGGATGGAAGGCTGAGTCAACCCTGAGCCGGTGAGATTTGAACCGCTGAACTGCTGATCTAGCAGTAGCCTGCAGTGCTGCATTTAACCACTGCGCCACCTTGGCTCTTTGCAGCTACCTCCATTGCAGCTACCTCCAATGTCATAATTTTGAGCTGGGCACATAACTGTCTGAATCACATGACTGTGGGGGTGCTGCAATGGTTGGAATATTGAGGACTGCTAGTATATCCACTTTTTTTAACACCCCGTAATTTTGAATGGTCACTGAACAAATGGATGTAAACTGAGTACTACCTGTACTTTAAAGTCCCATTTTAGTACGATTAAGGCCATAGTGGTATTTCCTAGAGACAGTGATAAGTGGGCTGATACTGAAAAGCAGAGCAGTTGGCCGATACCACACTGAAACCCTTTTCTCTGGTGTTATGGAGTTTTTAATCATACAGTTACTATGAGATGGTTTTAAATGCCCAATATGACACAAACCTTATATGGCTTCATAAAAAAATAAAAATCCAAACTTATGGTAGTGGTGGAACTTCAGGTATGCCATCTTTTTTTTAAGGGATAACTTGCAAACATTCAGTATTTTCTTTATCACATACAACTGCGTTGTTCTTTGAATACTGGTTTTCAGAACTACATTTCTTAGTGCATCAATCAAACATGGTATTTTTTGCAAACAAGTGTAAATCCACCTCAGTTTTGAGATCCACAAGTGCAATGAAACCTTAGTTTTACCCTGGCGTTCTCACCATTTCTCTGTGCAAGCTAGGATTTCTAACACAGACACCCCTTGAAAACCTACATGCTATTAACTTTATAGTATTGAAACAGCTATTAAGAATCATATGCCATGGTGTCAAGAAAATACATTTTATGGTCAGCTTTAATCATTCTAAAATTTCACCTTTGTTTTTAGGAGAAAACTTCATTGTAATTGTTGCGGGAGCAAATTTACTTCTGAATTCCAGTGATTTAAAAAAGGCTGCTCATATCATCGCTGAAGCCAAAGTGATGGTCTGCCAACTCGAAATAACCCCAGCAATTTCTTTAGAAGCATTAAAAATGGCTCATACCAATGGAGGTAATCTAATAATACAAATTAATTGTTTGCTTCATTCCACGAATGGTTTCAGTAATATTCTTTTAATGTAGCTTTGTTTCAAAGCTACATTGTTATTTTAAACATGGTGATGCCAAAATAAGTGACCGAAATCCAGGCACTAATGATATAACTTAATAAAACAATTGGGCCCGTGAAGAACAGTTGAAATTTCATTGAATTGACATGAATCTGGTACCATGTGTGAACCTTGCTCTTGTTTCTTTCTTTCTTTTTCACCTATTGAGTGCAATTTCTGATCAAGCCAGAGTAGCAAATAGCTTCCTTAGCAGCAGAAGATGACTTAAGATCATTCAGTGAAATGGATTCTGATTTATAGACCCTTATTCTGTATCTCTGGTAATGGAAGGTGCCTGAGGCATACCACTTCTCCTTTGCTTGCTGTCAGTTGATACTAAGCACCACCTTTATCTGAAAGGAAAACATTTCTGAATTTAAAAGGAAATTTTTCAAAAATTCAGTTAGAAAGAAATAAACTTAATTTCTTCTATTGCCATATTCTGAGATAATCATCCCAAATTATAAATCTAAATTCTTGGAGTCAGAAATTGAGGGTGGTTTTTTTTATAATAAGCATAATCTCTAGAACATTTATTTCAGTGGCTCATTTATTTCAGTGGTGCAGAACATCAAACAAGTAAACCTACCACTTGGGTGTGCACAAAGTGGCTCATTTCACTAAAAGTGATCACCGTAAATCTGAATGTTAATCTGTAAAATGCTAGAAAATTCTTTGTTCTGGGTGATTGATTGGTAGAAGAAAAAACACTTAATTCTCCCATTCTTCAAGGATATGTGTAATTAACAATAACTCCAAATTCCATTGCATGAACATAAAATATATTTGCATTTAATGCAGGAGATTACCTCTTCAATAGAAGCCATATATAAGAAGCCTGTCCCCTATATCAGGAAACCTCTGTCCATCTCTGTGAAACATGTTGAATGGCCTTGTATAATGAAATCACTGTAAACTTTTTGCTAATACAGAAACAATTTTTAAAATCGTCACAGCTGGAGTGTGTTACTGGCACTTCCTTTCTTTTAATCTGCTGATTCTTATGTTTAATGCAGTAGTTTATGTTCGGAAGCATACTAGACTATGTGTGTTTAACAGATGCGTACCCAGATGCAAGGCTCAGAAGAAAAAGGGAAGTGAGGAAACAGAAGATTGTGGCTATAAGCCTCCTTGTTCCCGTACACTTGGGTTCATTTTTTAAACTACAGATCGATAGTCTTATGCTTGCTGAAGTACAGATAGTCCTCAACTTACAACAGTTCATTTAGTGACCATTCTGAAGTTACAACACCACTGAAAAAAGTGACTTATGACCATTTTTTCACACTTACGACTGTTGCAGCATGCCCGTGGTCACATAATCAAAATTCAGATGCTTAGCAACTGATTCATATTTATGACGGTTGCAGTGTCCCAGGCTCACGCGATCACCTTTTGTAGCCGCCTTACAAGCAAAATCAATGAGGAAGCCAGATTCACCTAACAAACATCTTACTAACTTAAGACCTGCGGTGATTCACTTAGCAAACCTGGCAAGAAAGGTCGTAAAATGGGGCAAAACTCACTCAACAAATGTCTCACTTAGCAATGGAAATTTTGGGCTCAATTGTGATCATAAGTTGGCGACTCCCTCTATCATTGTCCCACTAGTAGTCATTAAAGATCTCTGTAGCAGCTTTTCTGTCACTTCTTGCCTTTGTTTTGATTGATGCCAAAGCATTGTATTAATTGTTGATACATCAATCACATGGTAGTATTTTGATAAGAGCACCATTCTGTGGGTAACTTTTTTTTTTTTTCATTGACTAAGTTAAAGGGAACCAGAAAAATAGTGCAGTTACCAAAATGAGTTGAAGTGGCACCATGGTAGATCTGGGCTTCTTAACAGATTCTAAAGAAACACGTTGCTCCAGCACCAGTAGAAGTAGAACCAAGCTAATTCCAAAGCACATAGGAAATACTTGCAGATCAAAAACTGTAGACTGTGTTTGAATAACTGCTTAGGCTCTGTTTGGTTTCAAAGTTTCCCAAGTTTAATATTCCTTTCAATCATAAAAATACTAGTTCCGTTTGTTGGAAAGGAAGGGAAGGGAAGCACTTCAGTATCTGATGGTATTCTTTTAACTCTAAACAAGGGGAAAGGCTTTTCCCCACCCAAATTCTGATGCAACCCTTTTAAACATCAAGTGTTGGAATGACGCAGAAAGACGGGGAATATGATGACTGCGGGTATGCATGCTATACAATCCTGCAGCTATTTGGATTTTGGATTCTGGTTTTGCCTACCAGCCTTGTAAACTCCCACTGACGTATTCCCTTGGTCAGTAGTGTCCATTATTGGAAAAGAGGTTTCCTCCCCTTTTACAGCTTTGCAGATTCCCAGAACTTAAAGGTAAGGTAATTGGAAAAAAAGTATCCTCTGGGTTTTTCTAAAATAGGAATGTCTATTTGTCTGTAGTTCATATCTCCTTCCTTCCAATGTGAGGCCTTATAACTATGATGAGAATGATGTTCCAGAATTCCCAGCAGAAAGATGCAAAACACAATCCTAATACATCTGGGAATAATCTTGTGTTTTGTTCTTTGTTGAAATTCAGTTAACCTAGTATATGCATATCTAAATTTAAATCGACAGCCTACCTTATGATTCTGATAAATAGCATACAGTCTTCAAAACACAGTCTTCAAGAAATGCTAATAAGTAGTATAGTTTGTATGTTTTTTGAAATTTAGCCAAGCCTTCATTTTCTTTTCTTTTTTTCTTCTTTTGCAGGGCAGAGGCATAATACTTAACCTATTCTCATGAAATCCTTAACTAATTCAATATCATTGCACTACCAGTGCTTTATAACAGCAGAAAACAGGGCATTTTGCTTAGATTGTTTATGTCAGCAAGTAATTTGTGTATCATGGGAGCTGAAAATGCTGTAGGCATTATAACAAATAGTGTTTGTTGAATTGTAGGCATTTATATTTCAGCATTATGAGACATGACTTTTACAGAATTTTCCATTCTCTTGCAGTGAAGACTTTATTTAATCCTGCTCCAGCAATTGCTGACCTAGACTCACAGTTTTACACTTATTCCGACATCATCTGCTGCAATGAAAGCGAGGTAAATGCCATTAGGGCAACTGAAGAAATAAAACATTGAGAGTATTATAGTACAAGTAATAGTTTCAGACTGTGAACATTTTAATTTCCCTTGCATGGCTAGCAGCAGAACCAAAACAGAGGCATTCCTGAAAGATCTCTGTCAACAGCACATTGCCCAGAGTGCCTTTTCAAAGCAGGAACATATTAATTTTATGCTGTCACTCTAAACCTCCTGTACATTTTGTAAGTGTACTTTTTGTACATTTTGTTGAAAGCAACCTTTATACAAGTAGTCCTCACTTAACCACCCTAAACGGGACCTGCTATTCTGTCACTGAGCTGTGCAGCTATTAAACGAAACATCACTTGACCACTGAGCTTAGCAATAGCAGTTCTGGCAATTGCTTGTTATTGGTTCTGAACAAATCTCACACATTCTTTATATGAGAACTACTTCATACCTTCTTTTGCACCTGTGCAGCCAAGGCAGGTCCCCCTTGACATCAACCTTCTTTCACATGCCAGCTTGGTCCTTCTTTTGTGCACTGATCAGGACTTCCTTTTCTTAACTAGCTGGATCCTTCTTTTGTAGTCGGTGCTGCCAGGAGCTTTCATGCATTGGGCAGTTCCTTCTTTTCTGAAAGGAGACCCTGGCTGGCACGCAAAAAAAGGACTCAGCCAATAGGAATGCATGGAGGGGCACTCACCCATCACCTGTCCGCCTGCAGAAATATCCACAATGCTTCCCCCATAAGTGGCCAGGATAATGAGCCCAGTGGAGCGGAGGCAAGTGAAGACAACATGTCAGATGAAGTGGGGAGGAATGGTGGCAGGGAAGGTAGTTTAAATGTGGGCAGGCCTAAATTTTGTTCATGTGTTTGTACATACTTTCATTTAGTGTCATCATAACTTAAACAGTTGCTGAATGAATGGTTGTTAAGCAAAGGGTATTTGTAGTGAGCTGCTGTGTGTTAGAAACCTTGCCTCCATACTGTTTTCTCACGTCCAGGCAAGAAATCCATATCCAAATCTACCTTCTTAGTTCCTATAGCTTCTGTGAATGGAGAAGTGCTTCGGGTATGTTCTGTTGATTATACAAACAAGAAGTTACATTTTTAAATGAAAAGAAACAGAACCTTCTGAGCATTTATGTCTAGTCTTCACACAAACCCAATTGGAAAGCTTTTGAACTTTTTAAAACTTTATTTACACAGCTTTGTTGTTCAAACAGATTCAGTGGTAATTTCAAGCAGAACTACAAATTTACCATAAGAGTCTTCCATATATTGTTGTTTCTGTTGAAAGAGGAATAGTTTGCCGCACAGCCAAGTCTCACATTTCTAAAATGTTCTGAAGGCAAAATGTATTTATATTGAAATAAATATATTTTATTTATATAAAATAGGGATGGGGTTGGGTGGGGGAAAGAACTGCCTTGCCGGTCATCCTTTTAAAATATTTGTGAAAATATCATTCAGAGTGTGTCAAAACTAGTTCTTTTCTAGTTGAAAAGAAATAGAAATGTATGCCCCATTGTCAGTGCAAAGTGTAAAGTTTCTGACAGGTGTCCTACTAAATTAGTGCAATATAAAAGAAAATGTCCATTTTTGATTGGCTGATAAGAGAACTCTCCATCTAATGACTATTCATCTTATCCACGCCAACCCCATATAATCAGTTTGTGACATTCTGAATCCTGGAAAGCCTCAAATTTTGAAAATACTTTCATGTGAGGAATATCACATCAATATTAGATAAAATGCATGCTTCGGAGTGTTGGTTTGCTGAGTATTGTCAGTGCTTTGACAACCACAGCTACTCTGCATTCCTACACATTTTGTTCTTTACACATTTTTGTGCTAGGATGAGGTTGGATATCAATAGCCTATCTACCCACAAGGGATATTTCACATGCTGTGCCTTTTAGATATGTTTAATTTATTGCTTCAACAATAACCTTTATTTGTGCGGTTTTAATTCTCCATACACAGTTCATGCAGATGTATATAGCATATTTATCAGGTCCCGACTTTTTTGCTTAGCTTGTCATTTGTTTGTGTTTTTTTTCCTTTCTCTTTTTCCCAGAAATGATCAAGCCTGTTGAAACTAGCTTGTTAATTCACTGTGCACCAGATGTAGCATAACTTAATCCCTGAGGTTTGCCCAGGAATGTGCTGGTTCTCTTTCTCCTTAATACTTTTAATGAAAGAAATGCAAAATAAGTAAATCAAATGTAGGGCCTGTGTGAAAGCCAAACTTCAGGCTGTGTGTTACTAAATACTTTTAAACTGCAAGGAAAATTGTTACATCATCAGTTTTTGTACTTATCACAGTACAGGTACAGTTCACTTCATGACCATTTGAACTTACAACGGCACTGAAAAAAGTGACGTATGGCCATTTTTCACACCACGACCGTAGCATCTCCATGGTCACATGATATACATTCGGATGCTTCGCAAGTGGTTCGTATTTATGACCGTTGCAGTGTCTCAGGATCATGTGATCATCTTTTGTGAACTTCTGACAAAGTCAATGGGGAAGCTAGATTCACTTAACAACTGTTACTAATTTAACAACTGCAATGATTCACTTTCACTTTACAAATTTCTCAGTTAGCAATATAAATTCTGGGTTCAGTTGTGGTTATACGTTGAAGACTACCTGTAGTATGGGGGGGAGGGGAACCACAAGCGTGTGTACTTCAAAGGCATATGAGCCGAAGTGGCACAGTGGTTAGAGTGCAGCACTGCAGGCTACTTCAGCTGACTGCTAGCAGTTGGCAGTTCAAATCTCATCAGACCCAAGATTGACTCAGCCTTCCATTCTTCCGAGGTGGGTAAAATGAGGAGCCAGATTGTTGGGGGCAATATGCTGACTCTGTAAACCACTTAGAGAGCTGTAAAGGCACTATGAAGTGGTATATAAGTCTAAGTGCTATTGCTAGTGCTATTCAATCTCAAAATTAAAAAGCAATATGGAAGGTGGATACATGTCAGTGTTTTGTTTTTGTTTTGTTTTATTGCAAATTTATATGCCGCCCTTTTCCCTGAGGGGACTCAGGGCGGCTTACAACAGTA